AAGAGGATGAGGCCTTTCAGGGACAGCTGGAAACACTGTTCATTGCTTTATATTCAGGAGCATGAAAGTCTTTCATCTCAGCCAAGCAGAACCCATTGGCGTACGTTGTATCTGCTTAACGGTGAATGACCTTCACGACACAGGCCCAAGAGATACTGATAGAGAAATGCCAAATAAGAGATTTTTTCTTAATTGCTTGTATAACTGCTGTGCAGTCTGCTCTAAGTTTGCTCTAAAGAGTCAGCCATAAGTCTCTGTGACCCTAGAGTTCTTTCTAACATGGCCCAGAGTGTTTTTCTGCCTGAAAGCTAAAACATATCCATTACCATTTAAGGAAAATATTACTGTGAGGGCTACGTATTCTACTTATGTCAAAGCTGGTAGCAGTGGGATACATGAATCTAAGGGAAGAGTATAACCTAAAGTAGAAAAGTGGTCTGTAGCCAGACTCTCCTGCACTGTGAGTGTTCTGAATTTGGGGTTTTGTATGGGGTCATCTCTAACCCAAAGAAATCAGTTTATGTTGCTAGACAAGTTCTATAGATTTTTAAGCAGGATCCCTTTTTTATTGCTAAAACTTTCCCTATTACTTTTCTTCCATGTTTTTTAAATTAATAAAGGGGATGTGTTGGATTGTTCTGTCTTCTTGTTTTTGAAGAGGATTTCAGTGAAATAAAGAGATGCTTGCAGTGCTGCAGGAAGGACAAAAACACCAAGTGATGTGGCACACAGGAAAATATGGAAAAAGGTGTTAGCTGCATTTCATTTACTTTTTGCTTTTGGATTGGAAGAGTATCTTTTCCAAAAGATTATGTCTGTAAAGCTTCTACACCCTGTGGCAGAAAGGCTTGGAATAGAATGGTTTTGCTTGTGTTCAGTTTCATGTAATGACACCTGCCTTGCTCTCTGCTTGAGCTCTCTGCTTTGAACTTCGGGTTCCTTGGTAGGAATCGTAACATCCATATATATATATTCACTTATTGGTGCTTAAATGAAAAGCATATGCAGTGGCGGTTTTATTTGTAACTTAGGTTGTTGTCTTTTCAGTGTATCTTTAATTAGAAGTGCCTGCTATCTTTCAGACATGCTCGTCCCAGGACCTCAGCATCCAGAATGTGGTGCTACTTCTTCTCAAGCTTTTGTTAATGCCAAATTATTTAAAGCAAAAACAATTAAAAGGGAGGCTCTCTTTTTAGATTTAGCCTTTGTTGAACAGTGCTGCCAGAAATCCTGCATTTTGTCTGAGCTGGCTTTATGTAATGGCTTCTCAGTGGTATTACCATGGCGGCAAGGAAGCAGATGTGATCAAGTGCAAGTGATGTTTGTGTTTAGTTCCCCTGTACATACCCAAAGACTTCAGAGCTGGATAACTTCTGAGCTGCAAGGTCCATATCCCCACACCCCACCCCCGGGTTAGAGATCTGCATGGAATTGTTTTCTGCTTAATCTCCATTGAGGCAGGTGCTTCAGAGTAAGTTGTGACAGTGTTTCATTCTCTAGCGCTTAAGCTGCAGAATGGATGTTCTGCAGTCGTTGGCATTTTACCTGGGGAGAGGGATGAGTTGTGAGAATTGCTTCACTTGAATCCCCCTTAGGGCAGGTAAACCCTGTTGGTAAGTCTGTGTCCTAAGATGAGCCACAAAAATGTGATGTTTCTTAGCTTTCGTGGATGGAGAAGTGAGAGTCTCACAAATAAACAAAGGCTGTTCTGCCTCTGAGCTTGTCAGGCTTTTGAGCTGAATAAATAAGTGCTGTTTTGCATTAACTAGAGCAGATGTTGCTGCATGAGGACACACTTCTCAGTCGTGAGGAAGATGGACTTGAGTTTGTCTTGGTGAACTAAAGGAATTCAGGTGTGTAGCCTCAACCTGCCTCCTTAAGATGCCATTGTTACCCATGCTGAACTATTCACACACTACATTTTCTAGGAATGCTAAGTTTGTAGGTGAAATCCATAAAAAGCAAAGAGAATGTGTTGCTGAAGGTGGTATCTGCCTCATGGTCTTTCTTGCTGGAGTGGCTGAATTGGAGCAGTAGGAGCTGTATTTGGTAGGTGTTGCTATGAATTCTGAAAAATACTATGCCATGTTCTGGTTGGTTGTGTCAGTACTATGTCTTCCAGAATACAAAGGCACTTCAGAGTGAGCGTTTGAAGGGATGTTTCTTCATTAAGACAAAATGCAAATACTGCGTGACCTCAAAACAGGGGAAATATTGTCCATGGAGTAGAAAAAGGGAGTGCTCCCGTGTGTAGTAAAATGAGGAAGAATTCTACAATTGCTTCCTATTCCAAACATGACACCAAAAAAGCAGTAATAATGTAAAGGCTTTAAACTGCCAAGGAGTTTGACCTGCTTACATTAAATTCTTGCCCTGGATTCTTTTCTAGAGGAGTCTCTCTCCTTTCTCTGACGGAGACTAATCTTCAGGGGCTAAAGTTCGCTGCTGTTCCATTTCTACATGCGTTTGTGTGAGCATGGGACCCCGAGAGATAGCAGTGTTAGTGCTGTAACCGAGCAGAAGTATTCATAATCTCAGAGGTGAAAAGCACACTCAGGATAACAAATGTATTTGTCTTTTTAATAAGCTTTTAGGAATTGTTTCCCTTTGTCTTTTCCCCTCCCCAGGCAGAAGTGAATTCAGGAAGATGGGACTACCCTGTGATAAAGCTGACCCACTGTGCTGCCGCTCAGCATTTTCTCATTTGCAGGGAAGGCACTCCCTCCTCTTTCCCATAAGTCTGTCCCTATCCTTGCTCTTTTGATGGGTTTATACAGGATTTCCTGCTGAGTCAATGGAGGAGGAATGCAGGGAGATAGCGGTCTGGCTTTACGCAGGGAGCCAGAGGGTGTTGCAGCTCGGCGGAGGCAGAAGTCAGCACTGCCTTTTGACTTATGTAAGTGGCGACTTTTTGCTGTATAATTAATAATTGTAATAAAAGCACATTTACATCCCATTGCACCAATACCTTCTCTGTGGAAACATTTGAGAGACGCAAGGTCCGGACCCAGTAAC